GTACCCGCCGCCCTAACCAGGACCCCCGTAGATCGACGCCCTTGTTCTCCCCGTCTCTGGACGCCGATCGCGATCATCGCAGCTCGATTTTCCTCGATCGATTCTTCTTCTTCCATCATACCTACTTCTGTATCTGTCGGCTCTCTATTGTATGCGTTTTCTCTTCGACTGCGCATTTCGAGGTTTTTTAATATGAGGTAGGTTTGTCATTCGGTTTTTTATAACATAGAGAGATATCTTGTTCTCTGAACTCATTACTGATATAGAAATTTTTACAGACTTACAATCATTATTCTTTTCATATTTAATAAATATCGTTTATAATATTTAATGTCAATAATTGATCAATATAAATCATATCGTATTTTCTGAGCATTCTAAATATTTTTGCAAGTACAGATTGCTAATAAGGATTGTAGCAAAACGGTTCCAATTACCGAAATTACGGACGCAATCATATTCCAATTCTCACATCTCCCTTTTTTAGGAGCGAGCGATCGGACGGTCGATGCGACATCGTTAAGCGTCGTTAAATTCGCAACACCACGCGTTCCCATAGCCTCTCCCCACAGTCTTCAATTCACGGAGTTCCATTCTCTCTCAGTTTCTTGTCCCGTGTGTGCTACGTAACGGGCGTAGTGTGCATCCCCCACGCGAGATTTGCACGGCTTTCATTGGCTCGGTTAAGTTTGATTAATCTATTCGAACGTGCCATTGTTCGTAGTATCGCGGCCCACCCTATTGGTCGGCCGAAGGATCCGGTGTTATGCTCGCGCTAGTTGCTGCAAGCTCAAGGGGGACCCAGCCACGGTGTGTGCTGTTGTCCGCGTGAACTGGTTTTGTGTGTTTTTCGCCATGCCCGTTTCATGCTTCCACTCTCTACTGTAAACCGGCGATGATTTGTACCCTGCCCCTTTTCCTTCCTCGCACACCGTTGAATTAATAAATCAATGATTGTTTGGGACGACGCAGAGGGTAGAAAAAACGGTGAATTAATGAGAACTGATAATAATCAAACTGGAAACTAATAGATATAATGAATGTCCCAGTTGCTATAATATATTCTCAAACTTATTTTTCTATAATTTTAAGTGTTAAGGATTCCACGGTTTTTACTTATTCTTTTGGACCTGTTAAAGGTTCCAGGATTTAAAGTATTTATATTATATAAAGTCGTTATTAATTTTAAAATTATAGAAAAATGCGACAGTGAGTAAAAATTGGGACAGCAGAGATTTTTGCAATCTATCTTCCTTTAGCTATCTAGTCTAGTAATATTTCAAACCAACGCAATCATAAATATGATTTCTGTGTACATAAAGAATGCGAGGTGTGGCGATTTATGTGGATACGTGTTTGGATCAGATTGGAAATGAATTGTATTATAGATTTGTATGTACAATATAGAAAAGACTTTGAGAAATTTATTTTATTAATATGAGAGAACTGGGAAAAATAGGGTTTGTGAGATTTTTATAATGCCTGTCAATAGCATCCCTTGCATATAAATTCCGTATTTCTAATCCTATTTCAAATCACATCATGAATCATCAGGGAAGAAACCGCAGCTAATATCGTACGTGCTTACCGTACAATTTATGACACGTAAGGAAGTTTTAATTCAATAAGATGTTAAAATAATGAAGAATAGATCTATAGAAAGTTATAGTGAATTGTTGAAAAATTCTATGCAGCGTGAATCATCGAAATTTTTTATACAAACGCAGGAGGATCGCACACGCAGCGGATTGGCAATGACGGCGTCCCTGGTTTTCCGTCGCGAGGGTGCGGCTTAAACCTAGGAGGTCGTCACACCTATCAGCTTTGCCGTTACCGATACATCTGTCCCGGTTACTACAGCTACAAACGTACCAAAGGGAAATAAATAACACTTCTTATGAAAATTAAGATCCTTCTCAGAACCGAAAAAAATGCCGCAGGGGAAAAAGAACAAGCACGATATTCTTTAATTAATGACTCGACACAGGATAATGAATGAAACTGACTTTGAAATGAAAATAAATTGCGAAATTGCATGAATAGTAATACGATTTCTTAAAAATTGTTCTTTCACATTAAATCGTAGAATTATTAGTTGGATAATCAGTTTATTTTAAAACGAATAACAGCAAAAATGGCAGAACGGTAGTGCACCCTCAGGAATGAAAATCTGAGCTTCCTGAGACCCCACATATCGCTTTCCATTCGAATTGTGATTCGCCATTGAATCGTCTCCGCCCTATACTCCAACCCCTCTGCCCAGCCGGCGGCTTCTTTGTGAACCCTCGTACGCACCCCTATTGGCAATCGCGTTGTGCTGGCCAATCTGTTGCTCCAAAATTCTTCCCTATGTTGGTTATAATGCGGTAGGTCGGGGCTGGAAGAAACTAGTCGGCCTTCGTCCATATTTCAAATCAATTGTGAGAATATATAAAACCAGTGGATCTCTTTTCTTTTTAGTAGCCAAATAGTTAAACCAGACAAATAGTTAGCATTTGCTTAAAACTGATTAAAAATTTTGATAGAGAATCTTTGAAAAGTTTGCCTCGACGATTTAATACTTGTATCAAAAAATAAAACGCAAGTACACAATATTTGGTTCACGATGTTATGTGATGGAATTACGTTTTAAGTAGTTAAAGCAATTGACTAATCAGACAGTTTGAAGAGCGTACACATGAAAACGGTGATACCAAGTAAATGCAATGCGAGCGTATGATACCTGGTCGAGAGTCTGAAGAAACGGGGCGAATAGTTCGTGCTACAATAGGTTCGAAGGAGGGAAGGCCGACCACCTACTTCGACGGCACAATGGACCACAAATGCGTGGCGACAGGAGTAACAGATATACGGCAGGCTGATTGCTCGTTGTCGCTGAACGTCTGATTGTCGGCTTCCCTTTCCAAGGAGCGCGGAGAGAAGAGAGCTCTTCGTTGCCGAAAGTCACTGTCTCTGGTGCGAAGGCTCGATTCCGGACGAATCGGGGCCAATCCTCCGGTCAGGGCTCCGTTTTCGGTATAATTTAATGGTTACGCCTACGCGAGACCTAATTTCGGAGATCAGAACATTTCAACGGATCGGACTTTATGGAAGATTGCCAGTTAGGTAATACTTGAATTAATAAAGGTATTTTATTTGACGTAATTATGGTTTTTATTATCAATAGAATAGACTCACAGCGTTATTTTTAAATGTTCTTTTATTTTGTAACAATGAATTATACATCGGTAATTACAATGAAGACGTTCCGGGAATGCAACACGATAAAGTGCCTATTTAGTCTTTGTAAACAGCGGCGACAATCATCTTACCAATCGCATAATCCAATTAATAAATTCGCATCGGCAATTTTCTATTACATCTTATTTAATACTCGGCTCTTATTAAATACGCGTCTATACTATGTATAAATGTACAGTAGTAGTCTCTTATCGAATGAAATAAATCAACTCCTCCAATAAACGTAGAGTCGCGCGGCTCTCTAATACCCTAGGTAAAAAAGGCAATCGGCAAGGCGTTAAATTACACGGAGGCACTTCGTTCACGGATGCAACTCGTCTAATTACTAATTACCACAAACTATAAATCTCTTTCTTGCATATAACGTCTAAGCTATGTAATTATATAGATGTATCGCTCACGAGCAGCCGAACAGAGAAACTTTTTAACTTCGATTCCGCTACAAAAGGCAAGCAAGTACCTACATCCTATAGTATTAGCACGTACAAAACTCCTTTCGTTAAAACAGTTATTATTGTTTTCATTCCACGTAGCTTATTTGCGATTGTGTTTATCTTAATAATCTAAATTACCGATGCATTCGTCTATCGACTTTGCAAGCTGTTCGAATGATTATTACCAATGGTAGCGTGAACCGGCTAACGTGACTTTAGGGCAAGCTACTCGGTTAGTGACGCCGGATGGGCGTCGGTTTATTAGTCGTAAAATCGGGATGCTAATCGAAAGCGCTCGCGTCTGTTAATTATTTACACTATTAGGCACTTTGATCTCACGTATGTACAAATGTCAGGAAATAAAATACAATATTATTACATGTATACTTCGTACGGACAGTTAAACAGGCAGGATTTGGTACTGTTTAATTTTTTTTTTTTACATAACTTGGTTTCAAGAAAATCTCGTGAAATGCTTAATATGAAAGAATTGTTCTCGCCAATCTCACAATCTTACCAACTTCTTTCTAGCAGTCATTTTGAAGCACGGTACTATTCGGAGGTGTAATAAATCCGATTGCATACTTTATTGCAAACGATACGTTGCAACATTAACATGCGATAGTATGGAGCATTGAATCATACAAAATTATTGCTGTTGACGTTTATTGCCGTGGAAATCAATCAATATAAGTGACACGTCGGCATTGTGCAAGATCAGTTTAAAATAAAATTATTCCGTTCAACCGTAAAGAATCTACGGAATTTATAATTTACAATTAACTATTGTAAAAGTGAAAATCACAATTACATATTTATTCCCTGTGAAAATAGTAACTGCCAGCCGTGTACAGAATAAATAGTGTATGTAAAAATATTATTGCTCCTCACGTCTCTTTACAAGCAAATAAAAACATTGAATACCTAACGTCAATTAAAATACTTCAATAGATATTATACATAGACTCTTTTCAACAAAGAGAACGATGAACTTAGAATACAAACAATGAAGGCTATGTACATATTTGCAATGGTGTGTTAGAATCATAATTTAAGATTTCTTAAAAAGAGAGCGTGAATGAATAAAACAATGTACAAATGTATTACTTCGTATCACTCAATGCGAAGAGAAGTTCTCTCGCCCGGTCTGGGTAGGAGAGAGAACCGCTTTGAAAGCAGACTTTTGCGTCACACTCCCTCGCGAACAAACTATTCCTATTAAGTTTGCGCAATGCGTACCTCATTCAGCGTGACGCAACTTTTATTACACTCAAGTGAAGAAAAAAAGTTTCAGTTGCTTTGTTCTGTTTAAGTACAGTTCACGGTTCAGTGAACCCTGCCACAGACCTGGGACTCTATCCCGCCCAGATAGGGGTAGCCACTCTTTGCCTCGCTGGGGCTGTGCGGTGTCACGTGGTGGTTTATTCCCGAGGGGGCTGGCACCCCCGAGGACGCGCCCTGGACCATGCACGCGCTCATGTTCGAAGCCGTGGGGCTCACGCTGCCGCTCAGACTGCCCAGATTCAGATTGCTCGACGTCAAGTTCGAGGCCAGATTGCTGCTACCGTAATGGGAGGCATTGAACAATCTGCAACAAAAATAATAATACGGGTGTTTGGACGGTTGGTTTGTCGAACATAGTACGATCTCATGAAATCGTTGATACAATTATTGTTGAATGAAATGATGAAAAAAAAAAGATAATTAGAATTTTGCCTTGCATTACTAAATGTTAATTATAATGTACTAATTTATTTCCCATTAACTCGAACCACTCAGCCTTGTTATTCCAAACCGAGATTCTTCCAATTAGCTCTATCTCTCAAAAGAGTAACAAGTTTACGGAGTTATCAGTCGCCTATTAAAAAAATGCTGATAATGTCCGGGAGCGGATCGCGATGGTCGAATACCAGTCGCGAGCGAGGATCGTTGTAAGAAGTGAACGAATTTACGATCATTTTACATCGAATGTAAAGCAGGTCGACGAGAGCTGCGGCCGCGTTCTACGGGCGACCATATCAAGAGTATTAAAACGCTTGGCGCGTTCCGAGAGAGCGCGCGTGCACGCTCGCGCGCATAACCACCGGATGAAATTCCCTTTCGGTTTCGCGAGAGTCTCAAAGTAAAGACCGCCGCCGCAGCAGCAGCGGACCGCGCGGCCAGCCACTATAGCCTCCCTCGTTTCGCTGTGCAATCAAAGCTCGCTGGCTCGTTTGCAAACCGATACCACGCGGGGGCACGGCGAGCGAGCTTCACGGGTCGCTCGCAGACGAGCGTGTATATACGAGTACGAATCGTTTAGGGCGTGTCGGGGCTGCCAACAACCGATTTCAAAACGGAGTAGCGGCCCTTTTGACCGTTTCGGCACAGCAGCACGGTTAAGGACCCTAAAGCGTGCCGATGCTGGAACCATTTAATTCCTCTTCTCCTTCCTTGCTTCCTCCCTTATCCGTGCAGCCTCTCCCCTTCTTCCACCTTCGTTCCCTTCGCCCTTTCTTGTACTCCTCTCTTAATTCCTTCTTCGAAACGGCCACGCAAAACGCTCGCACGGCGGAAGCTCGAGAATTTATCGACTGTCCCCGGTCTACGAATCTATTTTCCCCCTAGCCAGGCTACAAATCACGTTCACCTCTATGCCGGTGTTAATGAATTCCGACTAAGCCTAAGCGCGGTGAATAATTTATAATCGACGCTTTGTAAAATTATTGTATGCAGCGCAAGGAATTGATTGCTGTTTTATGTCTTTATACGATGGTTAAAAATAATTATAAAAATTTACTGAAATATTCTTTTCTCTCTTAAACGTATAAAATGTATGAAATGTGAATGAATAAACGTTAATATTCATGCTGTTGTTTCGGCGTTTACAACATTCCGATTCTGCTTTAATTTCTCCAGAATGTCACTGTACGAACGTATTATAATATATGCTACAATAATGTAGCATGAAATTCCCGATTGTACGTTAAATTAGCCAGCAGCGGACGCGCTAACTACGTGCCTACTTGCATTTTTGATCTGACCGGCAGGAAACCTTTTGGCAATTTATTTTGCGTAATGAAAGGAGAGGCGAGGAGGCGGCGGGCGATTATTGCATGTAAAACGCGTGCGGCTTCAAAGTGACGCGCCGCGAGGATCGAACCGGCAGATGATAATGCCGGTCGTCGAATCGCACGTACGAGTCTCGATAGTCGATGAAATTAAACGTCCTAACGTCCCGGAATCCGTGAAGAAGCGACCGAATACGGAGGTCGAGCACAACGCGGCTTTGGCTTCCGGGGTGAACGAAAGGCCAGAGAGTCTCCCGGTTAAAGCTGGATCATCGGCGGCGAAGATCCAGACCCGAGGTTGGATTATTAGCCGGTAGCGTTTCATTACGGGGGCCCAAGAAGCAACATAATTGAGGACCACACAGAAAACGTGTCGGTGCGGTCGGGCCCCGACTACCTCGGCTTTCTTCTTCTTTTTCTTCCTTCCTCGTTTCACCTGTTACTCTGTTTCATCCTCTCTCGTAGTACCCGTTTTATCCCCTCATTCTACCTTTATTCGTACGATTCGTTGGCTTTTTAATTATTTTGTTAATCGACAAGACTTATCCAGAAAAAATTTATCAATTCTCAGAGTGAGACGATACTATTTCCAACTCAACTGTTAATTGATACTAAAAATTCAGAAACATCGAACTTATTCATTTAATTATTAATTAAGCAACCACATTTTATCTTCTTCTAGTGTTGAAATTCAGTGCCTTTTTACTCCTGAATTATTTTTCTGAAAAGCTTTCGTCGTTTGCGGTTCGCGTCGCAACGAATTGGCCTCTGCACTCGCCGTGGAACGGCAATAGCAACGCGCAGGCGAGCATTTCGCCAACCTGTTATTACGCCACAATGGCTGAATTAATTGTTCGAAGCAGCCTGTGAGCACTCTCCTTGCTCCTCAGACTCCTCTCCTTTTTTCCACTAACGCTTTCCCCTCCGCTTTTAAACGTCCAGGATAATGTATCTTTACCTCGGACAGCGTGCACTTTGCCTCGACACTGGAACCCACCTCGTGGGGGGTCCATTCTTTTCTCACTTCCCAAAATCGACACCCTTTGTCTTCATAATACCAAAAAATAGTGACTCAGATTTTAGACTTCTGTTACATTGAAGTCTAGAGTTTCAAAGCAAAAATCAAATGCGCCTTACTTTTGCACACATTATTTTTCAAAAAATGACTAATAATTAGACAAAAAAGTATAAATCAATGCCAATGTCAAAAGCAAGTACATACCGCAATGAATATAAAAGGAACCTTTATCTCAAATGCATTTTTTTAATTGATTACCATAAATGTTTTATTTTGCATAAGAATCTGCAGTCCACTGATAAGGAACGGTAATAATGTACTATTGCAGTCGCAATTAAGTGCAGACCAAGTTGAATGATTATTTAAATTTAGGGAATAAATCGAGATCGTTGAAATATTTATGTAATTAACTTACCCATAGTTTTCGGCGGTCGGTCTGGTCCATTGTTGCTGGGCGGCATAATAATTTTCACTATAGTTGTAGTGCTGAGGATAACCGGCGGTGGTAGCCGCGGCTGCAGCTACCGAGGCCTGGCCGTAGCTTTGATAACCTTCGGCGCTGCTACCATAGTGTTGCGTCTGAAAAGACTGCAAACTCATTGTGTTGAACGCATTCAATTGTTGACTGTTTAGTTGCTTGCGAAGCCTGGCCCGCCTGTTGCTGAACCACACTTGTACTCGAGCTTCCGTCAGGTTCGTCCTGGTCAACAAATAAAAAATAGAATCGTAAGTTTCTGTGAAACAGAAATGTAATTAAAAAATTCAGCATCTCTTAATTCTGTTAATTATTCCTTAGGAAATTAGATGAGAAATATTTGTTTTAAATTGAAGATCGACTGAATTGTGCTGCGAAGTCTTGCTTACTTTTGTGCCAATTCCTCTCTGGTATACACGTCGGGGTACTGCGTTCGATGGAAGGCCGCTTCGAGCTGTTCAAGCTGTTCGCCGGTGAACGTGGTCCTACTTCTACGCTGCTTCCTCTTCAAAGCGATTCCCGGCTCGCTCTCCGTGTCCGAGTCATCACCACTACTTCCACCTGAAACAAAAAAAGAAACAAAATTAAATACACTACAGTCTTACGGCTCCATGATAAGAAAAATTAAAAACAAATCTCTACAACATACAAATTTATATACATATAAAAAGAGTGATGGTACATTGATGTACAGAATGAGATCTTCGTCGAAGGTAAAATTAATTATGGAAATCGGCGATTTCTGCGGTACGCCACGCAAGAAGGAATCGGGAATTCCTTGGGACGCACGAGCCTTATCGACGAAGGCAATCGATGGTAAGGTCCCGGAGAGATCCCTGGGAGATGTTACGGAGCACGCTTCTTAATAGCGGCAAGAAGGTCTCCCAGTCCAGCACGTGCTGCATGTCAGATACCGAAGATAGGAAGCGAGTCGTTCACGCCCACAGTTCACACGCCGGACTCGGCAACCCACCATTAAGACCCTCCTGATTACAGCCGTGCCAGCCGAACCTATACTAAACTAAAACACCGGAGAAATTAGGGTCCGCCGCGAAGAAATTAAGTTCTTTGACATGTCCCGTCCCACCCGAGCTAAACGAAAGCCTGTCCGGGATCTCGTACATACATACTACTTACTTCCTCCTTTTCTTGTCTAAGATCATGAAACACTGATAACTGCTACCAAAAATAATTCTGTTTGTTTAAATCACGAATTTTACGTCAACGTAATTGATTTATATTAAAACACTATTGATACTTTATTTAACATTAGTCACACATATGTATGTACGTAATTAATAAGAGTATACGTAAGTAACGAGAAGAGTTAATATTACGTTAGATCAATATATTTTTGTAATGCAAGAGAGGTCTCGACTGCAATTCATCAATTTGTACGTCGATTTCTGAATTAAGTCGATCGGTGGAGAGGAACGTCTAAATCAATAGCACCCGCGCGAACGTCAGCACGAATTCACGGAGTCGATGGTTGTGCACGGCGGTTTCTTCGAGATTAAAGACCTCGCCGCAGCCGTAAATCCTTATGGCGGTTCCAGCTTGACCAGAAACACCTAACTACTTTCCGAACCGTTCGCGCTTTCCACGGCCAGTCAACGCTCGCCAATATCACGGTTTCTTTGCAAAATGTCTTGATCCCGTACCACACAAGTTGTATCCTTATTGCTATCATTCATTGAAATTAATTTTTAAATCAATTCATGAGTTTTTTGAAAAATTATAGTGACTTAAAATTTGCATGTACTCTTATGGTAATCACCAGTAACCCGAAAAAAACTTTCTGGTAT